ATTTTTACATAACACAATATCAACAAATTACAGTGTCCTATCACACTAATATATCACAATTAAGCACAAACTAAGCTCCAAAAATTTATGCCATATGCAATGATTCAAGATAACACAATATGTATCACAAATCCTAAAAATTACAGTATTCAAGAATTTGTAAATCTCACAATAAAGCTCTAAATCAATGAATCAATGCAAAAAATTCAAGTTTCAGAATATACCGTAAAAAGCCCCAAATTCTTTATCTTTGTAATACCAATTTGTGCTGATCCAGATTACAGGTGATGTGTAAACTCTTTGGTGCAAAATCTAAGAAAAATTAGCTCAATGTGGATCCAAGAAACAACAATACAATTCGGATCCAAGAAGTGACAGCTACCCGAAATGGTTTTCTCGAAAACGCTCTCCACTCACTATAGTAGTTATCTCACAATTTTTCTTAAGCTTTCTCAAAGCAAAAAAAAATGTTTGCAAACTAAAGTATGAAGAAAAAGATGACCATAGCGAATGTGTATCTGACGAAAAAGAAATATTTAGATCTGAAAGTTTTTCTTGATTTTTGTTTATAGTAACAGTATCTAAAAAGATGGTAATTGGTAAAAAATGCTTTTCTTTCTTTTTTATTACTTTTTAAAAGACTAAGCCACGTGACATCTTTTGTGGGAGCATTTTCTTTCGTGGTCCGAGAGCATGGTGCTCCCTGCCAAAAGTGGAAAATAAAAGGGGATTGAGAGAAATATAAAAAAAGGGTGGAGAGGTTGAAGAGTATTTTTTTACCAAAAAAAGAAAAAGAGCACCAAAAAAGTTGGTAGTCCCGGAGCATATTAAAAAAATTCCCTTTTATGGAAAACATATGCTGATGACTTTAATTTGAAAAGTCAAAGTCTCCTTTTTTTATGAGAAAACTTCAATTATCCCCTGTAAGTTTTCTCAGAATCACTTATCCCCCCGAAATGTTTAATCATTTACACCCTGTCGCAACATATCGCGACGTGACGGCAAAAGATATTAAATGGTTAAAACAATGGAGTCGCCACCAAGGTTTATTTAAGAAAAACATTGGAAAAACCTTTTTTAGAGATAACTGGTCTTTGAAAACAAAAATGGGTTCGAGAGTCGATTACGAGTAGGGAAGGTATTAGCACCCTACACCGTCCATTAAAAAAACGGTTACCTTATGCAAATTATTCATAAGATTTTAAATATTTATTTCACCCTAAAAAATTAAATAACATTGATTGTTGGAATAGAAAACTAATTTTGAAAATGTATTTTTGTGCTTGACGGGAAGAGTCCCGCTCCGACGTATCCCTCGATACAATAGGGAACTGAAAGCTACGTCGTTCTGTAGAGAATATTTGTGTGTTGATTGATTTTAGTTTTGAAAGTAGTTTTAATTTGAAAGTTTTGGATTTGATGGTTTCGGAATATCAAACTGTCGCAGCTAAAATAATCTGAAATGATAATTGCAGGATTAACAAGCTATCTCAACTCAGCTAATCCTTTCTTTTAAAAGAATAATAATATTCATATTATTATTTTTGTTATCGTAAGTTTTATGATAAATTTGATTTAAATTTGAATCACCAAGCCGTCTCGGCAAAATGAGTCAAAACAAAATGTGCGGGGTTAACAAGCCGTCACGGCTCAGCTGACTCCCATTTCAATTGACATCAAACTAATTTTCTCTATTCTTTTTAGATTTATCCAAAATCAATAATTTTAAATAAAGCTTTGATTTTTTTGTTTGTTTGTTTATTATTACTAAATGGTCTAAAATCATCGGACTGTCACAGTCGAAATGATTCTAAACAAATAATGAGATTAACAAGCTATCACAACTTAGCTAATATCTCCATCGCTTATGATCATATTCTTTAATTAACTAACACACGCTCAAGGACCGAAAAGTAATGAAGGCTTATTGTTTTATTTTATTTTTGATTTTGTTTTTTTGTGTGTTTCGTTTTACATGCTTTTTGATTTCCTAGCTTTCGATATGTTTTAAATCTTAGCTTAATAAAGCATTTGGTGGCATGATACCTTCAGCCTAATAAATAGAAAAAATTCAACAAGATTTGACATTGAGTATTATTCATATAATAATAAGATAATGATATACAATTTCCAACCTAATGAATGCGCAGACATAGGGAACAAAAGAGTTCATGTTTGATAATATTAAGATATTCCAAGAATCAAATGCTAGATGTCAACATTGCAATAGTGAAATATTAAAATATTGAAATAGGCAAACATTGCATCGTGAAAGTGTATGTACATGTCAACAAAATTGAAAATTTGCTAATCAACAAAGTGGGATAATATTATAATATGTAAAACATAGCTGTCCCTGCAAGTGTTATCAAAAGATAATTTTGCATGTGATTTTTATTGGCTATAATATTTTAATCATGCCTTTAACATTTGATATCTACCGTCACTCCATGAAAAAAAAAAACTGCACATTAATCCTTCTCATATCACAAAGACGGTAAGAAACAAATCGGACAAACTCATGCATCTATATTCACTTGCTATCTTCATGCCACAAACGAAGCACATAGAATAAATAAAATATGTGCCCACATCCCATATAGTTGAAACCGAGAAACAGTACACTAATATTACCGCTAAGCAACTAGTTTCTCCAGCATTTAAAACACACTTCAAATATATGCTTACGGTCCACGATCAAAAGTAAGCATAACATTCACCCATTATTATATCTTTGAGGCTTTTTGAATTAATTAACAGTGCCTTGGCAATAAATAATGATAAGCAACATACCAGTCTCCACGCACGTGAGGCCTTCACGATGGTGATGACAAAATGGTCTGTGAGTTTTGAGCGATGAAGTGCAGCAGAGGGTGATCTTCTGGTTGTAGCTTGCGGAGCTGAACGAAACCTTGGGTTGGCAATCAAGGTTATGGTGAGAGCTGAAGATTAGAGCTGGAGATCAAATTTGTATCTGGTTTCATGCCTCTAGATGAATGACCACGGAAAATTCAGGATTTCATCCTCTCCTCTCTCTATTCTTCTTTGTTTTCTAACTCACAGAATACTCTTTCATAGCTTCTTTTTTTTTTGGTTCCTGGTGAATATTTGTTCTGCCCTTTTTATAGAATAACCATCACGTGCTTTGCTATTCTTATATTTTCTTTCGCTTCCTAAACACGGTTCCTCTGCTTTCTTATCCTTTTACCCTCTCTTCTTCTGAATATTTCATGTGGGATTGCCTAAAACTAAACCACTTAACACAGGCGGTTAATGAGGGAAACTTGATTGACAAAGGCGGTTATGAGGGAAGGCGGTTTGGTGTAGGGTTAAAGATATGGCCACTGATGAAAAACTCACGTGGGATGGGCGGCTAAAATAGATAGAAAGATGGTATCTTTTTTATTTTATTTTATTTTTTTACAACTAAAAATAAAAAAAGAAAATAGATTAAGAAAGCTCATAAAGTTAGGAACATTATTGAATAGACCCTATTATTTTTTAACGTGTTAGGACAAAATTGAGTGATTACACACCCCTATCTAAATTTTTTTATCACTTACCCCCTATTTTCATTTTCCATCCTAAACTAAAGTTAACTCTGTTAGCTTTTAAAAAAATATCACAACTACCCTTAAAACCAAAAAACCACTAAATAGAACAGAGTCTGGGGTTCTAAATTTTTTGCTCATTCCAAAGGTTTCGTTTTCCAATTTTCTTCTTAACACACTAACCCTAAATTGAAGTTCCTTGCATGTGGGTCTTGAGTGTTCACACTCTAACAACCAAGAACACCAACGCCATCGAGCATTGGTATCTTATCTTTCTCACTTTTGTCCTTGAGTGTTTCTTCTTATAATAAAATGTTATGTGTATTTAAATGAAGAAATGAGAAGAAAATATGTAATTTGCGTTATATATAATCATCATATTATGCTAATTTTATGGTTCCCATTTCATGTTTTTTGGTGTGTTTGGTTTCCTTTAAAAGTTTCGTCGTCTAAAGATTCATTAGCACGTGTATTGCCAGTTTTTATTTTTAAAGTTGTTTATTTAGGTGCAAAGATACAATATGAATTTAATTTTGGAGTTCCTATAAAAACTGTTGAATAAAATGTTCCACCTTATTCCAATAACAGAGTAAAGCTGAGTTGTGTCTTGTCAAGGACAAAAGATGGCATAAAGATAAGAATATATATTGAGAATATTGCATACATGAATTTTACATTGCACCCCAAATATTTAACAGCATAAAAATAAGTTATTGCTTGGTATGCAGGTTGCAATAGATGACTATGATATAGGTCTTCCATCATTACCTTCTATATTCGATGATGGAGCTATGTTTGAAGATGATGGGGCGGACTATGATAGAGCAGTGTTTGAAGATGATGGGGCTGACTATGATAGAGCTGAATTTGCAATGGATGACTATGATAGAGCCGATTTTGAAGATGGTGGAAAGGATTGGTGTGCAGATGATGATGGGGCTGACTTTGGAGATTATATTTTTGATGGTGAGGCATTGGTTGAGGACAAAATGAATGAAATTATAAATGAAGACACAGAAGGGGGTAAGATTGAATTGACACATGGAATGAAGTTTGGTTATGTTTACAAATTTCAAGATGCATTGAAGGAATGATTTATTTCTCATGGATTTGAATATACATGTGTGAAAAATGAAAGAAGAAGAGTAAGAGAAATTTGTAAGATTTCCAAAGAATGTCCATTCTTAGTACATGCATCGGTGGTTGGTGGTGAGAGCACTTTTCAAATTAAAACATGGAAACCCATCCACACATGTCCTAGACAAACTACAAATAGCCTCATTACTTCCAAGTACTTATCAAAAAATTATTGGAGGATTTCATATCAAACCCGAAGAAAAGGAACGAGGGGATTGAGAAATAGAATAAGTAAAAATGTTGGATATGATGTAGGGATTCAACGGCTATACCGAGCAAGGAAGAAAGCAAAGAAGATGATATTTGGGGATCATGCTCGGCACCGAGCATAGGTTTTCAGCGGTTATACTTCAATCATTTGTTAATCTTCTTCCTCACACCGGCCATATGTATTGTCTAAATCACTTACTTGACAACTATAAGAAGCAGTTCAAGGGAAAATTATACACTGACCTATTATGCCAAGCTACATATGCAACAACTGAAAATGGTTTTGAGACTGCTATGAAGAAATTGTAAAATGTTGATGGTGGGAAAGCTCATGATTATTTAAAGCGTCTAATCCCAAACAAATGGTCTCAGTCTCATTTTAGTTTCAAGGTAAAATGTAATTTATTGGTTAACAGCATTAGTGAATCTTTCAATTCACGCATTGTACAAACAAGGGAATTGCCTATAATTTCAGTGATTGATTGGATTCAAAAGAAGTTAATGAAACATTTGTATGATAGAAAGACTAAGATGGAGCAATACATTGGTCCAATTACACCAAAAATCCAAGAAAGGCTTGAAAAACTAAAAACAATGTCAAAAAATTGTGTTGTCAGTCCTTCTTCATACAATGTTGTTGAAGTTTCATGTCGTGGGAAGTCATTCTCTACTGATATTGAAAAAAAATGTTGTAGCTGTAGAGTTTGGGGGTTAACAGGAATACCTTGCATCGATGGTATTGCAACAATTATATATTGGAGAAGGGTGCCTGAAGACTTTGTTGATATTTGCTTCTCAAAAGAAACATATATGAAGGTATATTCAACTCCTATTAAACCATTTCCTGACCTTAATGATTATCTGGCCAAGAGTGAATTAAATGTTGTTGCACCTGTTATAAAAAAACAACCTGGTAGACCTAAGATTTTGAGGCGAAGGCAAGCTGATGAGCCTCGAAACCCATACAAGAATACAAGAATAAACAAACCGACACTTCAAAAATCCTGACGTGTCATATCCGACACTCCTGCACTCTCCGACACACCGACACTCCTCGAACTCCAACCCACGTTGCAAAGATTCAAATAGGGTTCAAAGGTTGCGTTGCGTTGCGTTTTTAGTTTCAACTATTAGATTCGTTGGATTATGATTACCATTTTATTGAGTTTAATATAAATATTTGAGATATTTTATGTTTCTTTGCAAAATTGATGGATATTATAAGTTTAGTTTCATTTTTTGTTAAATTATTGAATACTAAATATAATATACAGTACATAAATTAAAAATATTATTTACTATCAAAACGTGTGAAATCTAACATTTTTTAGAATTAACGTATGGGTGTATTATGTCGTGTCCTGTATCCCGTGTCGGTGTCAGTGCAACATAGGAAGGGAGAAGGTATTCAATGCCTTAAGGGAGAAAAACTTCAATGCACCAGGAGTACCGAACTCGGTGCTCCATTTTATTAAAAATATTTTTTTTCTTTTTACCCATTTTTTTATATTTTCTTTTAAGTCTTAATTTTTTTTTAGTAAAAAGGAACACCGAAGTGCATTGAAGTTTTTCTCGCTTTAAGGGAGTCATGTCCTTACTAAGGGAATTTTTTTCAAAACATCAGATGTACCCACTTCAGTAAATCTTTTTTTCCAAATAGGAAAATTATTTTTCATTTATATCCTTGCTTATTTTATTATTTTCACTAAATCCCAAATTTTTTCCCATTAGTTAAAGATGTACCTACATCTGATGTATCAAAAATAAGGATGGCAAAACGGGTCGGCTCGCCCCAACCTGCCGTCAACCCGCCAAAAGTGGGTTGGCCCGCCCCGCCTCGCCTCTTGAATGTGGGTTGAAAACGCCAATCCGTCCCATTTTTTGGTGGTTGGCGGGTCAACCCGCCTAAAAAATTAAAAATAATTAAAAATAAAAAATAAATTATATTTTATTAATATTATAATATTACTTATTTTCATATTACATTCCCTTTAGTTTTTTTTCTAATCTTAAGCCTAAATGTATGCTAATATTCAGTCATGCATTCTTTACAAACTTATTTTTATCTCCATATATAGATTAACTTTGTCACAAATAAAAAAAAAATTCTTTATTTTTTCAAAGAGTACTAAGATAACAAAAAATTTGATATTACAAAAGCTTAAAGACAAATAAAATATTACTTAATAGTAAAAAAAAAAAAATTTAATCCGACGAGCCAACCCGACCCTATCCGCCGCCAACCTATTTTACCCAACGAAATGAGTTGAGACGAGTTAAGGGGTTGAAATATATAACTCAACCCGTCCCGTTTGAGTTGGTTGGTTGGGAGGTTTAACCTATGCTGCGACCTCTAATCAAAAAATTTAAACTACTATTTATGGGCCCCATCCCCACTGGGCATTGGCTCCTACCATACCCGACAATGTCACCTTTCCAAATTTGTCCCTTCCCCTCCCAAATTAAGACCTCTCTCTTATGTATAAAGTGTGTCAGAATGAAGCCAATCAACTATGGCTTTGTACACAACTGATAATAGATTAGATTTTATGCATCAAAATTTGAAATTGCAACAAGCGTTTGATTGGTTAAAAAAATATACCTTATGAGAGTAGATACATGAAATTTGTCTTGTTTAGGCAGAAACGTTAAAGTTAAAACTATGAAAAAGTTTATGAAAGAACGGTTTATAAAAAGCAAAAAATATTAAAAAAAAAACGATGTGTCGGTAATTTACCTTGTAACTTACTAGTTTCTAAAGGGGTGTTTGATAGAGGAGAAATTGTTTTTTGTCCGAAAATCTTAATTTTTAAAAATATGATTTTTATATTCAATTTACGATAATATTCGAAAATTTAAAATTTAAAAAAATTCAGTTTCCCGAAAATCTGGCCAAAATAAAGCAAACGCACCCTAAAAAGTAACTTGAAGGTCCAAAATAAGACATAGTCCGAACTATTGATTTGGGTAAAGGCATGAATGAGTTTGACATAGGTCATGTTCCGTGTATAATTCTTGGCCGTAAGTTTACAAGTTATCATCTTCTCAAGATATTTTGATCTTTTGACAAAATTGGGAACTCTGGTTTTAGCACTTTTCAAGAGAGAAAAAGGTCATCAAAACACAAGTTGGCCACTTGGCTCCACTTGAGAAGGTTACCAATTATTCCCTTCCTTATTCACATCCCAAAATTATTTATTTCTTTTATACATAAAAGGTGAGGGATGCACTTGACAGCTATTGCTTTCAGAAAAAAGTTATAAAGGAAAATCTCTTTTATTCCTTTTTCTATATTTCCACCTATAAATATTATCCGTATTACTAAAAAAAAAGTACAGATACTCTAAATCTAAAAAAATAAAATAAAAAAATCCACTAGAATTGATATAGTGATGAAAAATTCAGGTAGCTTACGTGAGGTTATAAATTTAAACCTCAGTCCATCATTGTATCAAAAAAATAAAAAAATAAAACACATTAATTAATAAATTAAATTGAAAAACTCCATAGTGACACCTCAGCATCTTGAACGTCCACCTCAGCATATTCATACTCAAACCCATAGCTATGTGTTGGGGACATGAGTGCCATATCTCTCAACAACTGTGGCATCTCCAACACTGTCTCTTCTTCCTCCTCCGTGGTTGCCATCACCTCAACACTCTCATTCCGCGGTGGCCGGAAAGCCTCTGCTGCTTCCGCTGCGGCTTTTTGAATATCCTTAGCCTCGGCGGTGGCAGGGACAGGAAGCCGCCATGCAGAGTCGGCAAAGTTAAGACAAGCAGACTGGCCTCTCAACGCCATGGCGGCCACATCGTGTGCACGCGCCGCCATCTCCGCCGTCGGAAATGTACCTAGCCAAATCCTTGTCTTCTTGTTTGGCTCTCTCACTTCACAAACCCACTTATCTGAGTTCCTCCTCCTCACGCCCCAATACACAGGGTGGCGAGTTTCCTTGTACTTCTTCCTCCCCGCACGCTTCTTTGGGTTCCTCGCTGCCAGCAGCACCTCCTCGTCGGAAAATGCCACCCCACCAGAGGTTCTGGATACCGGCGATGATGTGTCAAATGAAGAAGAAAGTTCAAAGGAAATGGGGTGTGGGTTGGAAGAAGGGTTGAAGGTAAACATGATGAGAAGTTATATTTTTTTGTATCGTGGGAGTGGAGTAGTGAAGTAGTTATATATATAGGTTTTGTTATGGTTTACGTGTTGGTGCTTTTGGTGTTAAGAAAATATCTATTAAAGCATATGGTGGGGTTCGAAGAAAGAGGCACCACAAAGATAAGAGTGAGTGTGTGTGTGTCAGCGAGAGTGACAGTGAGAAACAGAGTGAGGGAGAACTATAAGGGGGAAAGTGTTTGGAAGAGAGTGAGAAGAGGAATTGAATATGTCATGACGTGTATTTGTGAGAGTCAAAGGATTTAAGAGTTTTGTGTTAGAGTTTTTTTTTTTTTAAATCAGTTCAATTTAATATGCTGTTAGATTAGGGTGATTCTTTTAAGATCGTTTTTTCCTGATAGAGCTAGAAAGGAGTTAGGACTTAGGGAGGCACGGTTGCTCATACAATTTTATCAAATATTTGTTTTAAATTATATTCAGATTTAAAAAATAAATAATGTAACATAAATTAATCTCTTTCATCCTTATTATCCTTATGTTAAAAAAAAAAAAATAAACTTGAAGAGCTCTTCAACTCATATTATGCTATCCCGCCAAAGTTAGAATGAATTTTGAATTTCTTGTTTTCTCTCAAATTTTTTGTGGCTCTCCTATTAATTTTTTATGTTCTAAATTTTTGATTAAGGGAAGTAAATTATTTACCACTTAATCTTATAAATATTGGTTAGAGTATTTTTCTTTTGAGATTTGTTACAGGAAGTGTGACGTAAAGTAGGGAATTGTGTCGGTACCAAAAGAAGCCAACACACCCAATTGACTACTCCAATTATTTATTATGTAAAGTTGATGGGGTTGCTTTCCATTTGTAAGCCGGATTTCAGAAGGGAAAGTAATGCTCCTTGGATAATAGTTTCTGGATAAAGACAACAGGTGTTGGTGTTTCACAACCACATGCTAGAATAAGGGTTTGCGCGTTTTTTTTTTCCTTTATTGGTATATTCCTAGGAGTCCATGCATAATGCCAATTAAGGATACTATCCAAAAGCATTAACCTATTAAACTACATGTATTTTTTTACCATAGGTAATTTTATTTGAAACGGGTTTATAAAATTTTATGCACTTCGTCCTCCTCATCATTATTAACTTAAAAAATTTGTCAGGAGGGGCGTGTTAAACTGCTCTATACAACGTTAAAATTCTCTTAACCCGAAGGTTTTGTTCATGGATAGCATTGCAACGTTGAAATCAGCGTTGAAACGCGCTCATCTTGAAAGACCTTTGTTCCTTGGAGCACGTTATAACTCTCAACAGAGCGTTGAAACGCTCTCAACCCGAAGGAATTTGTGCTTTATGAGCGTTACAACGTTGAAATGAGTGTTTGTAACACACTCATCACTGTCAAAATTCCTTGTTCCATTTATAATTTTAGTGAAAGTTAGTAAAAATCATATTTGTACCCTCTGAGTTCTTTTCACCTGCAGAATTATGAACTTAAACTTGACCAATTCATCACCTCATTCTCTAATCTTTTTGTGTTTTTCTTAATTAAACAAAAAGGAAAATTTAATCAAAACTAAAAATAGTAAAATGGTAGGTTGCCTCCCCCTAGCGCTTGTTTTACATCACGAGTTTGACGTACCTGACTTATGATCATGGTGGTTCAAAGCATGAGCTTGGTGATGACCAAGCTCCATCATTCAGAAATTGTGTCCTCCCATAGTGCTCTTCTGCATATGGATGAGGTAAAGTAGTCTCAGGAACTTTGAACTTGACTTTTACATGCTTTCCTTTGCTACCAGGTTTCTCCATCTTAACCTTTGGCTTACATTCTTGAGGAGATTCCTTATTTTCTTTCTTTACTCCAAGGTAGTAAACCTGATCTTGCAG